TTAATTAAAAGCCATTTGCTACAGCAACTTACAATGGAAGAGACTCCATAGCTTCTAAGCACCTTGGAGTTCTTGCCATAAGATAAAATACTGACGAAAATGGACTGAAATAAAGAATCAGCTTACGTTTCTCCTTTCTGCTAGGCACGCGGCCGAAGGTCAAACAGGTTAATAGTGTCTTCCTAGCAGTTTTTTGTTGTTGGCAATTCTTTCTTTGAAAAAAAATATCTCCCAACATGCTCTTCTAGTAACCTGCCATTACATTAGAATTCCAGACACCACATTGGAAAACAAACACTGCAGGTGACATTACATTGAAAAAGAAAAAGAAAAACTTAGCATTTCTACCGCCCTGGGCACCAAGGTAAGGAGGGTGTTAACATATCAGTGCTGCACAATAACTAGAATGTTTTTAGAAATTATATATTATGGTTCCTACTGACAAAATCAGCCTCTGTAAATGGAGGGAAGGTTACATTCACCACAGAATATCAACAATAAATTGTCCCTCCCTGGGGCACTGGAGCAATTGATGCTGTTTAAACTTGTCCCAAGTGGTCTGATTGAAATTCCCCACTTAGGGAGTGCACATATATTAAACTAAAGCTAAACACATAGGAAAGCATAATATTACAGCCTGCATTTCCTAGGTAATATACTGCACAATACTGAAAAGGCCCACAGGATGAAATAGCTTGAAATGATTCAGTGGGCTCTGGAGAAAATGTCTGTGATTTTCTAGGGGCTGGTACAGTAAACAGCTTTCAATAACTGCTCTGACTTAACAATGGGACTTTGTCTAAGGGGGGAAACATGTTCTCCAACCACTAGATAATTTGCCCAGTTTTATTGATTCTGTGTACCTAGTACATCATGTAAATTTAATCTTCAGTTTTGCTAATAGGACTACCACATTGTTCTTAACTTCTGTTCTCTGGCATAAAATGGCCCCATGCACCAGAAAGAAACAGATTTAATAATTGCTGATATTTATCTTTTCAAAACAAGAGCATCTTTATCCTGGTCTATCTTGGTGCAACAGGTGATCGAGGCATCTGGAGGCAGCCCTGTATAGGGAAGTATTTTTTTAATGTTTAATGTTTTATTGTGTTTTTAATTATGTTGGAAGCTGCCCAAAGTGGCTGGGGCAACCCAGTCAGATGGGTGGGATATTATTAATGATGATGATGATAATGATGATGATGATGATGATGATAGAATAGAATGCCCCTAATTTCAGTGGAGAAATGCTGAAGGGTATGTCTTGTTTGCTAGACCCAAACTAATACCATTCGTCTACAAAGAGTTTCCTGCATTGCCATAAAGACTACAACATATTACCAATTACCATGGCATCTACCACCGATAACTTACCAATAGCAGATGGCATGGTGGAGTGGAGGGGCTTACCTGACCTCCTGGCAGATGAGTCACTGCTGCTTATCGGGTTGTAGAAGGGGAAGGGGAAGGGGAAGGCAGGGGTACAATGGTACAAATCCATTGGCAGAAATGACAGATTGGCTCAGTCAGTGAATTTGTAATGCACTGACTTTGCCTATCACCGCACCCTTCACCCTCCCAGTAAGCAGCAGTGACTTGCCTGCTGGGAGGTCAGGTAAGTGCCTTCCCATCCATGCTGTCCACTACTGCTTTTCCTTTCCAACCCCTTCCTTTCATTTTTGTACAGTGGTACCTCTGGTTAGGAACTTAATTCATTCCAGAGGTCCGTTTGTAACCTGAAACCATTCTTAACATGACGCATGCTTTCGCTAATGGCGCCTCCCGCTGCTGCCGCACCACTACCGTGCGACTTCCACTCGTATCCCGGGGCAAAGTTTGCAACAAGGGGCATCTACTTCCCGGTTAGCAGAGCTCATAACCCAAAACATTTGTAAGGGGGGCGGTACATAACACGAGGTTCCACTGTATTAACATTGAGCCGAGAAAGAATTCTGTGAAACTCAAAAGGTGGTCTATGATTGTGATTTTGATGTATCTCTTAGTCTTATGAAAATGTCATATTATTATCCCTCTTAGACCCACTCCCCAACAGAATAACATGACTCTGGATTTTTGCAAGCGCTAGTTTCTGTTTCCCTAAAGCTTACAATTAAGACTATAAGAAAGTCCTGTTGCATCATGTCAAAAGCATATCTAGTCCAGCATCCTGTTTTCAGAGTGGCCAACTAGATGCACATGAAATGCTTATAAGGAGGACCTGAGTGCAACCATCATGACTAGTAGCCATTGAACGCCTTCATTAATTATAAACAAGGCATCAGAATCCCCACTTCATGATTTCTGTACATTTTTGTTAAAAAATGAAAAATGTAGTCCAGAGACACAACTCCTGAAATATGGGGTCAAAACATTAATAAGAGTAGAAGAGAAGAGTGTGGGCATGTTCCTTTCCTATTAGAGAGGGGGGGGGTGTACTTTCCATCTCAACTGGGTAGTATTTTTTCAGTCTCAGCAAATCTTCATTGCACTCCTTTGGGATTCCTTGTCATTACGTTTGTGACAACTCTATGGCTAGTGTGAACATATTTCATTTTTACCTTCAGGGCTGCCTTATGTAAGCACCTGAGTCTCTGGTGCTGGAGCCTGTAGACGTTACATGCCGATAACAATGCGAGATTTGTAAGGTTCTGAATATTCTGCCTGGAATTTGATGGTACATTATTTAGAGAAACTGTAATATTACAGAAACATAAATGTGTACGGGATTAGGTTTTTCGTGTTTGGCTCAGTCTTCTGGATTTAGTTGAACACATTATTTCCCATGTAGGCATCTTCATCAGTGGTTCAACTTGATTCTTCTTGCACTCTGCTTTACCATGATGCTGGCTGCTGAATTAGAATATTCCATTCCAGTCTGAGAATGCTAAGATGAACGTTCAGCCAAAAGGCGTATATGGTGCCGAGAAGGCTGGACGCCTTCAGAGGATACAGGAAGGGGAGCAAGTGGGTCCACATTATCAGTGCTGCTTCACCCTGACCCATTGGGTGCAGTTAGGAAGGATGCCTTCCCTATTCTCAGAGCCCTCTCGGTTTTCATCTTCTCCCAGCTACAAAGGAGAGGATTTGGAAAGGGGAAAATGTTGATGTCTTCACTCTTTTATATAGGGAAATTCCCAAGAAATAAAAGGATAAGGAGGATGAGGTGGGATGCAGGCAAACCTAAACACAAGAAGTTGGAGAGTACTTGGGCCAGTTGGTTACCGGGATATTTAATTTATGCCAGGATTATTATACAGAAGGAGCCCCAGCACACCCCTGTTCTTTGGAAATCTTAGAGCATACTCAGAGTTCATGGGGGTGGGCATGGCAGGCCTACGATAAGGCTTTTCATAAATGGGCAGCTATTCAGCCCACATTGCAATGGGACAAAAAGGCGTCTGACTTATGACTCCATTTTATGTCTGATGCATGTCCCATATTAGGGAATCGGAATGACAGTGGGCTCTTAATGCCAAGGCAAGCCCAAGTCAAGTTTCCACGCACATCAGTGGAGCAGCGGGCTTAATCCCGCTTGTTATGTTGGGAATAGAGTTCCCTCGGTGCCTGCGGCAGAAACCTACATCGCTTCAGGCATGAGTGCTCCATTTGCGATGCTGTTCATCCATTCACAGCTTGTCCCCGGGTTAAATAAACATGCAAGGGAATGCAGGGCAAGTAGGGAGAAGTGAGTTAGATCCATAGCAATTACCACCCACATGTCCATCACCACCCAACTTGAGTCTGCAGAAGTGAGCCTGATGTACTTAGGTAGGCTCCCTGCACAACGTAGAGCCCTGGTTTCCCAGGGTTGTACATCACACAAGGGAGTCTACACAATAAATCCTGGATCCCTACTGTGTGTGTCCTCCCCACAACTCATGGAGGGCAATGGGGGCAGTGGCAGGGTGGCAGAACTAGAACACTCATCTGAACTTTCCCCCCTCATGTTGAGTTAACCCAGAAGATGAACACTTGAATAGATTTTATCTGCATCCATTATATTAAGTCCATTTTGCATCATTATGTAGAATTCAACTGGTGCAATGGGCTTCCATATGGAGGGCGGGGGACCCTGTAATGGCTGTTTAATATATATTTTGACCATGACATAATTTTATGCAGTCTCAACACTGTGTGGCTTCGACCCTTCTTCTCCCACTTTATTGCTTATTAATCAGCACTGCTGCCACACACCCACTCCTAGAATTTATGATTCATCACTTGGCAAAATAAATATTACCATATTTTGATTTGCATGGAAGACAGATTTTGTAAACGATTGCTACGAGTGGTCATACAATCCTTCCTCTTGAGGTTCAAAAACATGTTTGTTATTGTTTGGCATCAAAGGACACATTCAGGAAGGGGTAGGTTTTTTCTTTTATTGTTCATAGTAAGCCTTGCTGTAGCTGACTTTGCTTTTCCAATCCCTAAACAAGGACAGCATTGTTTAAAAAAGAAAGAAAAAGAAGGATCAAGCTTGCCTTGCTATCTGATGCTTTCTTATTTTAGTTTACTAAAGCATCGTAATAAACAGCAGTAAAGACATTATGTTACCCAAAGCCATGAATCATAAAAAAACAGGAGCTTTATTAAAATTGCTGGTGATATTTGCTGAGGTGTAGGTCATATGGCATTTCAGCAAACAAGCTCAGAAAGACAGCAATTGTATCTGGGAAGCACCTGCATGCTATTGTTTGGGTGAAACATTTCTACATCTAAGGTAGGGAAAGGGAATCGATAAAAAAGCAGAACTGACAGCGGAAAGAGGTCAGCCTTCAACTTTTAAAGAAGAGGATGATGGAAAGAATAAAATGCTTAAAACGAGGGCAGACCTGCACCACTTACAATTCACCAAGCTGAACCAGGATTGCCATATTCTAAGGCACATGGGAGGCTGCCTTATAATGAGCCAGATCACTGGTGCATCTGCTTAAGTACTATCAACACTGACTAGGCTCTCCAAGGGCTTTCCAAGGTTCCAGGCAGGAGACATTACCAGGAGGTGGCAAGGATTGAACCTGAGACCATCTGCATGCAAGGCAGATACTCTCACTACAGAGCTATTTCCCTCTCCATAGCTTTGGGATGGAGCTTAATCCCTACTCCTTATTCATCTGCTTAGGTTGCTTTTCAGCGGAAGTTGCCCACAACTGCAACGTTAGGTCAAGTTCATCTCTACTTTAGCTCTCTTTCCTCCAAGCTGGCTATTTTCTAAAGTAGGAGTTGGGAACCTCTGGCCTACAATATGTTACTGGATCCCAAAATTCTATAAGCCCAACCAGTCTGGCCAATGGTCAGCAATGATGGGAGTTGCCCAGCAGTCAGTCATGCGATATCATAATGAAATCATGGGATTGTCAGGTGGACAATCCCATTTGTCCAAGAAGGACAACCTTGGTAAAGATCTGGCCCATGAAGCAAAAGGATTCCCCACCTTGATCTATGTTATCCAGATAGGCTTGCCTTAACACACTGCTCCACACACAGAAGGGCATGTAGAATAGATCTTGGAGAGACAATACTGAACGAAGTAGACCAATGGTCCGACTCCATATAAAATAGCGTGCTGACAAGTCTACAGCATCTCATATTTGGACATGCAGTGTTTTCCCCGGGTACATTTGATGACCTTTCCCTTTTGCTTCTGTTTTTCCTTTTCTCATTCCACCCCACCCTCTTCCTCAGAGTTTGCTTTTTCATGCATTTGAGTGGCTCCTAGAGCCTTGCAAGAGCATCTGCTTTCCCCTGCATCAGAAACAAACATTCCCCCCCCCAACACAAGAAAGAACAATGGTGACATGAAGGACTGTTACAGAAGAGTGGGCAGCTGGGCCCTTGTCTCTATACAATGCACAAATGAAAATGCATTTCTATGCAGCGCGGCTTCCCATCATCAACACAAAGGGGCCATACATGAATTGATCTTGGCTTTTGGGCTTCTGACACAGCAGCCCGATCAAAGGCAGCTAACCATGTCAAAATTCAGAGGGAAATTTCATTGTTCGTGCTTCCAGATTAATTTCTGGACGTGTTGCTGTTTATTATTTAACAAAATTAAGTACAAAAATGCTTTTTAAGGGTTTGTGCTAGTTTTCAGTCACTTCAAAAGGGCATCACTTTGGATCCAGGGAAAGAATAGCTATTTATTTAGGAATAACAACCGTCAATGTTACACACCATGTGTTTAAAGTGCATGGAACTATAGTCCCCATCACCCTGCTAGGCACACACAAATTTACAATCCTCAGCATCCTTAAGAAACTAGTTATCAAGATTCTTGGGGGGGAAGCTATGAGCTTTGAAGATGCTTTGAGCATATGGCGCAGATGTAGCTCTTGACTTAGTTCTCCATGAACATAAGGCAAAGCCATTATGCATTAAGCTACGACCTATTCCTTAGACCTTGCCCTGGCAGTCCACATCAGCCCTCTTCATGCATCCCCCCCCACATGATTCCTATTTCATAAGGGGAGATTAGGGGGTGCACACCTTGGCCCTGCCTTTTCCATGCCACTGCTGCCATTCCCTTCACTCTTCAAATGTAAGGGGCTGAACTTCTGCAGCAGACAGCCATTACTGCCACTATTATTATAGCCCAACCTTCCTGCATGTTCCCGGGGAGGGGGTGCTTACAGAAAATATCAGTTACAAGCAAAATATACTTATCACAAAACCTACCGGCCACGATAGTGAGATGAGGACAGAACAAGAATGCAGAAACATCCACTCATCTAAAGGGTAGAGACCAATAACTTGACCAATAACTGAAAAGCACACAAGGATGGTACATGTCGCACCTCAGAAGGGAGGTCATTCCACAACCTTAACCTAGGAGCCACCCCAGAGAAGGCCCTCTAACATACCACCAACCCCATCAACCACAGGAGTGGGGATAGTATTGGTAACATGTCAATCTGAACACCCAAGTAGCTTGATATGGGGGAGGGGCTCCTTTGGTTATTTAGGGCCAAATCATCAAGGGCTTTATATGTCCATGTCAACACCTCAGATTGGACTAAGTGGGAAACAGGCAACCACCACAGATCTTTCAAGGTCAGTGTGTGGCCAGCCAGAAACACCCACCAGCAGGCTTGCTGCTATGAAGTCTCCCCCCACCATTTAGTATCTTGATCTTCAGAGGTTCCAAACCGCATGAGAAGCCTGCAGAAACAACCTGTTGTTGTCTCCCTTGCCTTCTGCCCTAGCAGTCCCAACGGGCACTGGTCACCACTGGTGAGCTATCCATTTTTGTTCTATAATCTTAACTTTTATACTAAGGTTTCTTAACAAGTCAGCTTGGCACTGTCGAGATAACAACACTCTTGAAATCTATTCTAATGCTGTCACCTCCATGAATATTCCTCCAGAAAGGAGTATCACCCTCTGGAACACTGAGATAAAACATATGAATGCAAACACAATCTATTCATTGAAGAAATCGAGCCAATGAACATGGTATATTTCTCGTCCTATTTACACTTCTCTGTTGGTCTCCCCTTTTCAAAGGTGAGCAGGTTGCAGGCTGTATATCATCTTTGTCAACAATCTATATATATTCATGGATTCCACAAGCCTGTGCCATAGGCTTTTTATTTAGCTCCAAGAAGATGTGAAAACAAGTGTTGCATGACCAGAATAAGTCTATGGGAAGTTATATTCATGTTATATCTGCTATAATATTTGTGGGCAAGAGATAAAGGTCTTGTGTCACTGCAGAGTATGCCATTTTTTACATTTACGCTTTACTTGCGGCGTTTCCCTGCAGGAATAAGATTCTGTCTCGACAAACGCAGCTCTCTATGTTAAATAATATCTGCAGTAAAAGAACATGGCAAATTTTACCTTCTCTGATCCACAGGACCAGTTAAATTAAATGCAATTTAAATCATTCAAACTGAGAACAAATCTTTGAAGCGAATATAGGGAGATGCAATTTGAATCCATGCAGACAAAGTTTAAATCCAATCATGGTGGTAGTGAAAAAGTAGCAATGGTAGATTTCATTAAAATATTTTCTATTTAGTTCTGAATTTGTAAGCCAGTATTCCAGTAGTGCTAGACCATAACTAGGGCTGCCATACATCCTGATTTTCCAAGACATGTCCTGGAATTCGCCTCTGTAAAAGGCACCCTACATTATTTTTCGGAAATCGGGCAAATGTCCTGGAAAGCCAGCAACGGGGGTTAAATTGTGCCAAAAATGCCTTTAAAAACTTCAGAATCCAACAATTATTGTAGCTTTTACTTTAAAATCTTAATAACCTTTGGGATGTCCTGGTTTTTACTTTTTGAAATATGGCAATCCTACCATAACTGCAAGGTTTCCTTATTCCTCTAGTTTTCTATTTTCCCCTCTGGATGTTAAAGGCATTGTTAGGAGGGTGTGTGAGCTTAAAGAAGTATATCCAGTTGCAGGTGCAGTTGAGAAGCAGTCCTATTTGCTGAGTTTCCCCTCAAACCAGCTTCCATCCAATTTGAAAACACAAGGCACAATTAAGCTGAGGGGTGTACATTTCAGACACTCATTGCTTATCCACAGAGAAGAGCACGCGTGCACATGAGAGTTGCATTTGGGAGTTCATTGTAGGGCAGTGGCTCTCAAAAATTTTTCTCTGGACCACACTTTCAGGATAAAAATTAGTTCATGCTACACCAAAAAAGAAAAAGAAAAAAAAAAGATAAGAAATACATTTGAAAACAAAACTCCCAGCAGTGCTTGATTTTGAAAACATATCTACAGTATCTATATTCCAGACCCTCTGTGTCCTTATTTTCCAGGGACAGGCCCAGATTTACAAAAGCTGTCCCAGTTTCTGATTTGATCCCAAATTGATCCCGCTTTCCCTTAGGAAAGGGAGGGTATGAAGTTATGCGACTCCCGAGGCATCTGAAGGCAGCCCTATATAGGGAAGTGGTGTTTTGTTTTGTTTTTACAATGTTTAATTTATGTTTTTATATATGTTGGAAGCCACCCAGAGTGGCTGGGGCAACCCAATCCGCTGGGCAGGGTATAAATAGTAAAGTTATTATTATGGAAGAGGACGTCCCTATTTTCATTGGAGAATTGTTGGAGGGTATGATATTCTGCAAATAAATATATAGATAGATAGATAGATAATATACTATACTGAAATGTTTTAATGTTTCTTTGGTTGTCCTGAACCTTCCTGTCACACTTTTCAGCCTCTCCTGCCACACCAGTGTGCTGTGCCACACCTTTTGAGAACCACTGGTGTAGGGAAACAAATGTGAGCATGGTCATTAGGTGAAGACATCCTTACTCCTTTCTTATACTGTCCAACATTTCTCCGATGAGAATAGGGACATCCCATTCCATAATGATAATTTTACTATTTATTCCCCAAGCATCTTACAGGGTTGTCCCAGCCACTCTGGGCAGATTCCAACATATATAAAAACATAACAAAACATTAATCATTTAAAAAAAACTTCCCTATGCAGGATTGCCTTCAGACGGCTTGGGAATCAGATAACTCCACACCCTCCAACATTTTCCCCAATGAAAATAGGGATGCCCTAAGGAAAAATCCTTCCTCACTGGAAGGACAGATCCTGAAGCTGAGGCTCCAATACTTTAGCCACCTCATGAGAAGAGAAGACTCCCTGGAAAAGACCCTGATGTTGGGAAAGATGGAGGGCACAAGGAGAAGGGGACAACCGAGGGCGAGATGGTTGGACAGTGTTCTCAAAGCTACTAACACGAGTTTGACCAAACTGCGGGAGGCAGTGGAAGACAGGTGTGCCTAACATGCTCTGGTCCATGGGGTCATGAAGAGTCGGACACAACTAAACGACTAAACAACAACAAAGGAAAAGCAGGACATTTTGGGATCAAATCAGAAACTAGGATAGCTTCTCTTAATCAGGGATTTCCCTGGAAAATAGGGACACTTGGAGGGTCTGCTTTCCTAGGCTGGATCTAGACGCATCAAAGAAGCGTTTCAGTTAAATGCGTTGCAAACTGTCTATGAGAAATCAGGTTAGCAAAAACGGAACTCCACAGCATCATCTGGTGTGACAGTGTTAGAATGCATAAACAACGCATATAAAGTG